TTAAAAATCCATCTTTAGGATAGATTTGAGAGGGTCCACATATGTACAATATGATTCGGCTGACTAATAAACCTCATCCTAAAGTGAATGGTCTTCCAAAAGAACCCATGCCGCATGTTATCCGAAGCATTTGCCGTCGAATATGTAAGAAGAAAGGGAGGGTCGGTCAAATTTAGGAAAAGTCTTTCATGCGGGCTAGACCGCATTTCTACATTATGCGGTCCGGAGGTATAGCATCTATTTTAAAGATGGATGCAAATAAGCGGTCCAAATGTTTTTTTGATAAAATTATCATTTTTAGTTTCAAAAAAAAAGTCATATTCATGATCTCCATATTAAAGATTATATACTCTATAAAAATTAAGATCAAATTATATTTAAAAATATATATTTATTGCCAAGCCCGCATTTCTACAATATGCAGGCTGGCTGCATAGAAACCTTGTCCATCAAGTTATTATAGGAAACAACAGCTAATGTCTATCCTATAGGCAAGCTTTCTAAGTTTTCCCTACAACATAAAACTTATACACTTCTCCCTATCCAACCATCCATTCTGAATGGAAGGTTAAGATGGCCCAAATCACAATGTCACATCTCTACACTACTTTATTTTTAAATTTTTTCTATAAAATGTTTTGACACCAAATTTTGGGTGCCAAATCCTCTATTAAACTCGCAAATGTAAAATATATTAAAAAAGATTTCCCAATAAAATAAAATGACCAAAATATCGCTAAAAATTCTAAGAGGTATTTTGGTCATTATATTTTATTGAAAAATTGTTTTTAATATTTTTTATAAGTGCCCCAATGAGAAGATGATACGTACCAAATTTCATATTCATACAATTCATATGAAACAAATTAAAAATAAAATATCCTGAGACATCAGATCTAAGATCAAACGGTGGGTGACTCACTTGAACAAAATTGAACGGCTGGATAGTAAGGGAAGCATAGATCTTCAATATTGTAAATCTTTTATGCTGTAGGGGAAATATAGAAACCTTTCCTCTATCCACCTGCTCTAAGAAGAGAGAATAGAAGCCCAACAGTCTAACCCAAGTTTATTGTGATGTTGAGATTGCGTTTGATTTTCGCTTAGTGTTCCCCCATACATAATATCATAATTGTATATGATATTTTATATGGACAAAGTGAGTCGGTTAATTCCTCATCTATTTGTCTGAGGGTTGCTTCTCAAATCCGTCTTAGAGATTGAATTTGGATTCAAAAAATTAAGGCGTTAATAATCTATACCATGATGAACATGAATATATATAAAATATAATTTTTAATTTTTGATGTATATTTATAGATTGTTGATTTAGACTTTGGTGGGATCACCACCTTTTTTAACAACCATCTTTAAGATGGATGTTAGTTGCATCAAGGGACGAACATGTAGGCGTGTTTCTGTTTTCTCTCCCTTTCTCCCTCTAACGTTCTTCTTTTTCTTTTCTTTTTTCTTTTTTCTTTTTTTTGAAAAGCACATATACTATGCTCCCTAGGGAGAATAGCTCACTTCTACTACCTCGGTTAGAAGACTTAGTTGGGAGGACATTTTCTATCTGAAATTTTGGAAACTGCTTGAGAATTACTAGATTAATATTTTTAAAAAAAAAACACAGTTGAAATTGTAATTTCCAAACACTTAAGATCTCAATGGCCTCTATTCAATCTCGGGACACTATCTTTTCACCAAACACGTTTTTTTTTTTTTGGTTAAGGTTAATATATGGGTTGAAGAGGTTATATCCCCAAAATTATGAGTCCCCAAATTAATTCTAGGTAGGGTTTTGATCCAAGGAAGTAAATGAACATTCTACTAAGGAGAAAGTAGAAAATATTTTGACTTTTTGAATATTAAGTTGAGACATGGTGGGAATAGAGTGTGACATTGCGGCACACACCACCTTGACCACTTCTGCCTACCCTATTCTCATTGTTAGGTCATAATGAACATTGTTTATATTGCCGACAATAATGAGAAATATTATAAACATTGAAACAATATTTAACATTATTATGAGATATTATAGACCTAATTGAGTGATGACAAGAAATTGTGGACGCATTTGAGTAATAATATGAAAATGAAAATTTAGTTCAAAGTTGAAAGTTGAAACTCACCCATAAGGAGGATAAATAAAGCCTTGTTGATAGGTGTAGGGAGTGGATGTGGTGGGGCCTGCTGTGTAGGAGGGTGGCCCACGGTACGACGTCTCTGCACGACCCCTCCCTGCAAGTTGAGCTAGCCTTGTTAGAAGCCCAACTTTAATTTGTGGTGAGAGATTCACCCACCAAACTAAAATAAACACCACTTGTTGCTTGTCTTAAAACTACATAAGGTTGGGCCTCTTAAAATAAAATTATTACGAAACTTTTGGATCTTAGTCTTAGTTGTGTGTCACGTTGGGCCTCCCAAATAAATCCTTTTTGGGATGGGATGGGATGGGCCGGGCCTGGCTTGGCTCTATCCTGGTTTTGGTCTCTAAATGGTTGGCCTGCTCAAGCCCAGCCCTAGCTTGGGCTAGATAGGGACAGGGCTAGTATACTTGAAGGGAAAAATAAATGAAAGAAAAGAAGACAAAAGGGCGGACAAAGCAAGCTGGGATGGCCTATCATGGCCCGGGCCCAGCCTAGTCCGGCACTATCCTAAGGCCATGGCAGCCCTGATCTCATGCCACAGTTTGTAACCCAAACCCTAATTCTACAAAGGGGGTCCCGGCTGGCCCACCGGGCCATTGCCAGCCCTGAGCCTCTAAAAATAAAATCATACCCAAATATTTACACCTTAAGTTTTTAAGTATTTTTTAATATATATTTTCCCTCTTGATTGGATGTTAACCATTAAATCCTAGTTTTAAAGGTGTACAAAACCCACGATTAGGTTACCCACCCAACAGAAGACTAATTATTGGTGTGAAAAAGGACTTTTTACGCGGCTTCAACACGGGTGTATGAAACTGGCCATTGGCTTTAGTGGGAGAAGCAATCAATATAATCCATGTCTGAGCACAAAAGCAATACGTGGTTAACACATAAAATTTAGTGCGACACCCCGTATCTCATCAAATTAAATACCCTGGATTTGAGCAAAAATCAGACAATAACACTTTTGATGCTCTAGGTCTCCGGACTTTCTTCACCTTCCCGTACATGGTGCAATTACCATAATCATTTGATTTGATGCTTTAGGTCTCTCGACTTTCTTAACCTTTCCGTACATGGTGCAATTACCCTATTACCATTTGATGTTATAGGTCTCCAAACTTTTTTCACCTTCCTGTACATGGTGCAATTGCCCTAGAGTTGTAAGATAGTATGACGTAATTTTTTTCATCTTTATTAATGAAAACCAGTTAAGAGGCTTTTTTCTCAACTGATTTACCCAAAAAAAAAAAAAAAGGTGCATATATCTAATGCATTGCTCGGTAGAGAAAGAAAAAGAGATCCAGCTAGAGAGTGAGCAAAAAAGAGACAACCTAGTAGCCTGAGAGAGAAAGTGTCAGCACCCCTGTACCCTAATCACTAAGTCGTAATTTACTTTGCCACTTATATCACTTTATTAACACCTTTAAAAACTAATTCCTAAAATATTTGAGAAAACGAGTAAGGACTGATTTTCCCCTACATTACATAAAAGAAAAACAAAACAAAAAAAAAAAAAGAAGAAAGAGCCAAACAAGAGAGAGGGAGAGAGAGCAAAATCTCGAAAATAAGAGATAAAAAACTCTGGCAGAGAGAGAACAAAAAGGAGAGAGCCTAGAGGCTTTGGGTTCACGTGCACGCGACCAGCTATGAGCACCAGCCCATGTGCGGTGCAGGCAGTGATACTTGGCCCATTATTACTCAAATCCTATACAAGTCTAACATATATCATATAGCCTACCAACCCACGTTGTCAAAACGATCACAACAAAACCAGCGACTCATATAACAACAATGCGAGAGAGTGATCCACGTTGAACAAATTAAATAACTTACAAACAAGTTAACACATATCTAACTAAATTCTAGAGAGAGAAAGAATTCTCTTACCAGTAGTGAGAGGAGGTTGGGCAGGCCTCCCAAAAGAGGCGATGTTACAGTTTGTCCTACGCCCGTCGATAACCGGGTTAGGGTCCTCGCACGCAAGCCGTGCCGCTTCGGGTTCGCTGAAGGTCACCTGCCGCAAACCCACCCATCTCTCAACTCAAAATCATAAAAACAATAAGAAAAAGAAACAACTATATAAAGCGGAGCCCCTAAACAATCAAATTAAGGTACTTCTTAAAAATTCAGAGGTTGTTTTTTTATATCAAAACACTTTTAAATTGATCATCTCTACCTCGAAATATATAGACTTGAAAAAAGATGGATTTCGACTTGAAAAAATGGATTTCAAGTCCGAAAATAGTGCATCCGTATAATCTAAAAAATCAATTTTTAATAATTTCCTGTATTTATAAATTTACCTTATTTATAGAAGCTTTAAAAATTATAATTAGATAAAAAAATAAAAATTTCAGATTATGAAAAGACTTCTGCTATTGAAAGATCATTTTCCAATACTATTTAGAGATATGCCTAGTTTTTATTGCTAAGGACCCCAAAACCCAAATTTCCAAAAATCCATTTGAGGATGAGACGAGGCTACAAAAAGAGTCATAATTAGAGAAACCAGAAACCATGTAACATGACAATCTTCAATAGAAATGAAGAGAAGCAACTCACAAATCCGTAGCCTTTTGATCTTCCACTGCTTTTATCTGTGATCACCACAGCCTCAAGAATGTCTCCGAATTGATCGAAATACTCTCTCATGGTTTCAGCCTGTGTCTCCCAAGCCAATCCGCCCACAAAAACCTTTGTATAAGCCGTGTCTCCAAATCTCGCAGCCATGATCAAGGCTCGATAGCTCCTCCAAACTCAATCAAACCTCTCAATCTATCGACCGCCTTATTCACCGCACGAGCCCATCGAGAAACCAGCAGATTTCCATTGAACAATAGCTTTTCGATTGATCATACAAATTCAGGATAGGAAAACATAGCGAAGAAACTATGTTTTGTTTCAGAGGATAGAAGCAAAAGGATATGGGATGTGGGTTTCGGAAAACATGGATTTGTGGCGTGGATTTTGATTTAGAGAGAGCAAATTGAGATTTGGGGTACGGTTCGAGGTCGAAGAGAGAGGGAATTAGGATTTGAGAGAAACCGTGGCTTACAAATAAGGAAGACAGAGAGAGAAACGGGGGGAGAGACAGGGTCCTCGCTGTCTCAACCCCTCCACATCGAATGACAGCTACGCCGCTTCTAGGCCTCTGTCCTCCCTGTCCCCCCAATAAAATATGCCCTGCACGAGGGACCATAGATATATATATAGTCTTTATCTTAGGTGCGTAGCATGAGGGACCAGAGATAGACTAGCTCCATCTTGCTTAGTTGTAGCATTCTTTCCTGTGATTTTAGTGGTCGCAAGACCAAAATGTATATTTGCTCACCTGGTAGACCTGACCGTGGGTCCGGCTATGGGCCCAAATTTTGGATCTGTGTACTATTCGGTTCCGGGTCCGGGTCCAGCCCGTAGTCTACCCAACCTCTACTCATGGTTAGATGGTATATGATGGTAATATTGTGCCTTTAGGCGCGCTCTAAGTATTCATATTGTCACAATATGGATAACATTTATGGTATTATTGGCTAGAAAAAAATAAGCTAATAATCATGGGGTGTATGATGGTTAAAAAAAAAATCTTTTAGTCATAAGGTAGCAATGGATCCGACCTGATCAGGGATCCCACTGGTAGACCCGAGATTTCACGGGTTTGGGTATGGGTCCAAGTTTTTGATCCAAATACTATTCGGGTCCGGATCCAAGTCCGGGTCCAACCAGATCCGACCTGTTGCCACCCCTAAATTTTGTTGTGAGGGCTAATGACTTACTTAAAGGACTTGTAGCAAGGACGAGCAACAAGCCGAGCTATGGCTAGCTATAGACACTAGATGCCTCCAAGCCCAAACCAAGCTTGAGACCTGGGCTTGGTGGCATGCCCTTCCTTGTTAAAGGGCTGAGGGCCTCTGCCGAAAAATAAATAATCTTGTTAAAAAGATGCCGAGTAGGGTAGGGTGCCCGTAGCCAGGGCCAAGTCTACCTACTGGGCCAAAGTTTTAAAGGCCGGGCCTCCCTGACCGTTAGCACCCTACTTTAAAAACATTTTCGAACATCGTTCATTGAGTGAGGTAAAAAATCAAACGAAAAAAAATGAAGATTTGATCTCCAAATTCCTTAACAATCAACATCGAGACTTCCAATGGATTTTGATATCTTCCACTTTCCCAACTTCAAATCTAACTTCATTTTCTCTTTATTTTTTTTTCCCTCCAAAAATTGAATATGGGCGGTTATAAACAAGTTCCGAGACTCTCGGGGTCCATAAAATCCCCTGAAGGATTCCTGACCGTTAGGAGCGAAGTAAAAACTTGGTCCTGCAGTACTACGAAATGTTTTTCTTTTCATCCTTTTACTGGAAGCGAAAAGTTTTTGTAAAGTTGCAACCTTAAAATGGAGAATCACATATGCACCTAAAAAATGCATTGAAAATATTGTTTAATGCTGAGGAAACCCTCTAATCAATCATCTCGACATCCAAATGAATATGAAAAAAACAAGCTTTTGAATCTTAAAAATAATGCATCTTACAACACATTATCTAGACCGTCCATTTTCAAGATTTTCATATATTTATAGATCTACCCAATTTTAACCTTTTTTAGAATTTAAAATTTTCTAATTAAGTATAAAAATAGATTTTAAGATAATGCTAAAAATATTTTGCAACAAAATTACATGTTATGATAAAATTTTAAAGTACGCTTTTAAGGTTGTAACCTTATAGAAACCACACCCTTAGTGGAAAGTTGATTTCTTCCTTCCCCCATCTCATTTTCTTTTTTCCATCATTTGAGGCCGTTCGGGTCTTAGTTTATTTCTTTACACTGCATGGAACAGGACACATTAGCACCACCCCAATAATATCTTCAAAAAAATCTAACTCTTAAACTGTTTGAAAAAACATATAGGGGCATGTTTTTCCCACTGAATTACATCAAAAAAAAAACTTGGTATAAAATTAAATTTGAGAGAGAAAGAGAGAGTAAGAGAGAGACTTTTGGCCAGGTACTCAATCCTGGCCTAAGGTGAGTTACTCAAGTGAGTCCGATTGGAGTACTGTATATGGGCAAAAGCCCTTGAAAACTTAAAAAAAAATTGGGTGGGGGGCGAGAAGGGGAAGGTAATATTAAAATATAGAATAAAATAGAAAAAATCAAGTAAAATGAAAAAACACCTAAAATGTCCAAACTATCAAAAAATTTGATAAAATATGGATTCGGAAATTTTGGTTTATAGTTTGAGGTCATTTTAAACATTCATAATAATAAATTATATAAATATGGCATAAATAAAATAAAATAAAAATTTTCAGCCTTTGCCAATAGCAACTAAATCATATATATAAATTTTAAACATCAATCCCATATTTTTATATATTCTTTAGGGTTTCTGTTATCCATTTTTAATACATTACAAGTTGTACAAATAAGTTGGGAAAAACTAGATTCACCAAGGGGGCGAGTCCGATTAGGCCGAGTCCAACGGGAGTCTCGAAACAAGGAGAGAAAAAGGGAGAAAAGAGTGCCGGGCCGGGCCGGACCGTAGATATTGGGGGAAGCGAGAGAGAAATAGTCTTTGAGAAGCACATCAATCAGGGGAGTACAAGGAAATAATTCTCGTTCGAGAAAGAGCCACGGCCAAGCGACAAAAACCACAAGCTTAAAATGCAAGAAAGTGTTGAATTTAAGGAAAGATTAATGAAATTCTAGGTTTTGTCGAACGAGAATGAGGCATCATCCTCATGATGAAAGAAAATATTAGAGGGGATAGGGGCCATGATTTTCTCTTTCTATTTTAGAGTGGTACAGAAAGCTCTTTCTCATGATTTTCTCGCTCCTCACTAATGTGGGCTCACATCGGGCCCACCATATGCAAGGCCCAAGCACTATGGGGTTGGGCCTAGGCTTCGAAGCTCAGTGAGCGACGCAAAGCTTAGTAATTACCCTGCCCTGAAACTTGATGAACGAGAAAAACCTAATTGAATTTCTTGCTCGACAAGAAAGAGAAGTTTGGTTCTTTGCTAAAAGTCAAAATCAACGATCTTTCATTAATCAAATATTCATTTGTCAGCCATTGCTGGCTCTCAAGTTGAGCCAAAATTCAGATTCACATTGACTCAAATAAAATATTTAAAGGACACGGTTTCTATGTCATCTGGTAAAAAAAAAAGAAAGGCTTATTTCGAAATCTCGGAAAACACTTTCGTCATGAAAAATGCTCTAAAAGCAAGTTCCATTACCAATTGTGAAATGTGTAGTAGAAAAAACGGTATAGATCTCGCAGAAATATGAACACCAAAAAATTAAAGGTCTATAACATGTATTACAATGTGCATTAAGTTTAGGACTTAAAATATTTCTTTTTTCTAAAACCATAATGGTATGATCGTCTTGAAAGTCATCAAACACTAGAATTGCAATTTTTGGTGAATTTTGAGGTGAGGCATGGCCTTTTTCTATAAAGGATGGGAGTTATTTTAACTTTTTCCATATTTTAAATCGTGGTCCTCTCCTTACTAGTTCCTATATTTTCGAAACTGGATCTAGGTCTCATCTAAATTCTATGGACTTCTCTTTTTCCCTTGGTTTTGCTATTTCCGTCCAAACCTTGGGTAACAATAGGTGTGCCCACCTAAGTCGCGTTCGAAAAGAAAAAATATGGACAATAGAAAATGTCTATCATAACATTAAGAAAAAAATTTATATAACGTATCAACTTTATACAGTACACATAAGGTGTACCTAAAAACCCAAATGGGTCATCTCGACCTTAAGATTTATAGTCAGGAAAATAAAGGGATTTCTAGTGCTAAAAATTTTTCATCTTCAAACGCATTATATGTACCATCCATTTTCAAGATATTCAAATATTTATAGATCTGCTTGATTGTCCACTGCATTTTCAATATAGTTTTGGGATACACTTTACTTTAATAGTATAAGGTTGACACCTTATGCAATCCTCACCCTAAGATTAATTTTTTCACTTTATCATATATAATTCTTATTGGTTTTTATCCAATAATTGAAGTTCAAATACCGTTCTAAAATGGTCAAAACTTTCTTTAAAAGCCTCCTCAGCGAGTGTAAACTATCTAGACATACATGAAAATTAGGTAAGTGATTGGGGCTACGTCGTAGTGAGTGTACCCTCATACCTAGTTACCAGGTTTTCAATTCTCCTGACACCACTAATTGATATCTTCAAACAAGCTAACTCCCTAATCTAAATGAAAAAAATGGGTAGGGGCACAACCGAATAACCAAAAAAACAAAACTAAAAAAGTAATTAACCAAGTATAAGGGCCAACTGACATAATTATTTTCTTGGATGTTGGACAATCCAATGAAAAAATAGCATAAAAAATATCTGAAAATATCAAACCACCTCTATTTTTTGGGAGGCAAGTTGTAAAAGTTAGGTTCAAATTATATTTGAAGATAGCAAAACTTAGTAGATACCAAACCCTTTCCATATTTTTTTTTTCTCCAAATTAATCCTCAATTAAGAAAATTCTCCATTATCAAAATTTTGAGATTGAAAAAATTTATGGGTCATTTGCTAGTTGTAAGGACACCTAACTTGAGCACCCAAGGCTTGTGAATATTTAATTTATGAGAAGATGGGAGCAAATGAGGGGCCAGCAAGAGGGGAGACCTTAAAGGCATGTGAGCTGGCACCTGTCAACGTGGTCGATTGATGGATGTTGCGGGGGTGTGAGCTGGGCGGGCCCACCATTACACGTGCTCCTTTTCCGTTGGGGTCCCACACGCTGCAGCGTTGCCAAGGGTAACTGCCTCGGATCGCATGGTGCACTCGAAAGCGACCTGCGATTCCGTACTCGAGGGAGTTGGGAGTTGTTGGAACCTCAAACCATTTCCTGCTCCCGCAGGACCACACCGTCTATTGTTTCTTGCCCAACATCACGTAGATTATTTTTTTATTTACTACGGTATCTTATCAATAGAAATGAGTACAACATCATTAAGGTTCAAACGAAACTTGGCCAACCCATCTGCTAGGAAATTGTCCTCCCGGTATACATGTTAAAATGAGACCGTCAAATTCTCACAAATATCCATGACCTTCAATCACATTGGCAAAATTATCCACCACGATCAACTCCGTTTACGCCAGTTGATCACATTCAGAGAGTCAC